ATGTACATATATATCTATCTATATATAGACATATATACATATTCATATATTTGCAAATATGTATACATATATATCTATCTATATATAAACATACATATACATATATGTATATATACACACGCACACATATTCACATATTTTATACATTTACAATATGACATTTCATGAAAAATTTGTTAATCACCCCTCGCAGAGGTATCGAAACTATAAACAAAATAACTGTTTTGTCTTCTTCTAACCCATTGTGGATGCCATTCAAGTATGGACGGCGATAATCCCAGCGGTGATTGTTGTTGATCTTGTTTCCCGACTGCTCCTCCTTCAGGGTTTATAATTATCAAAATAAAATTCATTCAACGGACATCCGCCAATGGCCGATGCACTTAACAAAATTTTGTAAACTCAATAAAATCGCAATTGAACTAAATAATGGTGCTGTTGTTGGTGTCGATGCTGTTCTTGGTGTGGCTCTCCTCCCTCTTCGCCTTCTTGTTCTTCATTTTTATTATCCTCCTACAGCACCTCTTTCTCCTTATCCTTCTTATTGTTCAGCTGTACTCATTCACAGCTGTGCTGCCATAGAGGCCTCTATATAGCTAATCTGAACTTAATGCTTATTGGGGGGAGACCATTTCTTCGGCCTGCTGGCGCACAGTCTTGAGATGCTTCTTGCCCTGCAAGTGCTGTTGCAGGATGGATATATGATTCATCGCCTTGTTGCACAGCTTGCAGTAATACGAGCCGGAAGGGGTACGATACATAGAGAGATCACCATTTATATCAATGGCACATGCGGCTGCTATCGATTGCTGCTGCTCCTTGAGCAGCTCCTGGGCATTTGGATCCCCTTCGAGGTTTTGAGCGCGCAGTTTCTTCTGGTGTTTGGCTCCATCGAGATGCATTTGGATTTGAGATGCTGATGTGACGCTGATGTTGCAGATTTTACAGGTAAGGCTCTCGTCGACAGCATTGAAGTGGTGCTGCTGCTCCTCGGCGGTGTCCATCATATCACTGGAAATGTCATGCATATCACCTCCACCGCCGCCTCTCAAAAACATCTCGCCAATGCCGTAGCGACCGTCATCAACCATAACCTCTGCCTTGGTGCCAGTGCGCACCCAGTTGCCGTCCGAATTGTAGTAGCCGGCGCCCGATGGCTTCGAGCGCTTCTGAACGACCAACTGGTGCTTGCGGCCAGCATAGTGCTGGCGAGCATGGGTCATCGAGGTCAATGGAAGATCGCACAGATTACAGTGGAATGCATTCGGCCCGGTGGGGCCCTGTTTGACGAGACGTTTAATGGGTGGTGTCTCCAGGCCCATTTCGGTGTAGTTCTTGGCCAGCCAGGCGCTGATGTGACGGTCGTGAGCCTTGGACTCGTAGTGGTCCTTGGCGCTCTTCATCGAGGTCATCTGCGATTTGCACAATTGACAGGACAACGGATGGATTAGCTTGTTCAGCTCGTCCGGATAGCTCTCGTCGCGGCCCTGAAAGAGAACCAAGTTATTGCCCTCGACCTCCACGGACTCGTACATTTTTCTCTTCAGTTTGCGCTGCTGTGATGCAATTGCCGAAGGGTGCTCCATAGTATTCATCATAACGGGCTGATCACCATGCACTACTTTTGCGGCAGTGTAATAACGATTTGGGGCCATTCTTGCTGCCGGGTGCGATGTGATCTTAACCGACACCGGCTCGCAAACGTGCTTAGGCTGCTTGTCTGTTGTTGTAATTAGCGGTATTTGGTATGTACTCAAATATCCAGAAGTCATTTTAGTAAAATTTTTTTTTTTGAGACAGAACGTAAGGTTACTTAAAATCTATTTAAAACAGCACTAGTGATGTGTTGAATTGTCGTGTGCCTCACAGCGCAGGCTCAAAAGTTATCGTCAAAGCAACCATCGCTAGATTTTTCAATGGGGTGTCAAATCGTTCGTGTGAAGCACAAATATCGATTTAATTGCATCGCTCGATGCGCGCCATCGTCATACAAAAACAAAAAGCTGCCAAAATTAAACCGGCAGCCACCGTGAATATTTTCGAGTAAAAATAGCATACGGATATACAATTTCAAAGAGTTTTATTTAAATAAATGTCTGTTGGCTTTAAAGAATAAAACACTCCTCTTTTAATTGTCGGGCAATGAGCGGATGATGTCCGAATCTCCAGGATCGGTAATGGACATGGTGCACACACGGAAGTATTTACCGCAGGCGGTGCCCAACTCAATGTTGGTTCCACTGTAGTGCTGGACTTCAGTTTTGGCCAACATGGCGTAGTATTCAATCTCCGACTTCCTGCAATTGTTACAAAATACCACAATTAACTATATGCACATCATTTTTCCCCCAACTGTTTGCTGGAATATGGCTAATCAGAAAGAGTCTCTAGTAATAAAAATTCGTCAAGGCATTCGGAATTACAAAATATCATCATATAAATAAGTTCGATTACTATTCATATCTATTGAGAATGACTCCTTACCCCATTCACACATATACATGTGAGTGCGTGCGTGCGTGTGTTGTTACTGGAACCATTTGGAGCCATGCAGAACTAGTTCATGTTACACATTGTCGGCGACGAAGGCGGCAACTGCTGCTGCTATACTACTCCATAGTTTCCATAAATATTATTCGATTGGAATCATATTTCTCAGTCAGCATTAAAGAAGACTCCATATGGTTCCAATAACTACAACAACAGCTACTTTTCACTGTTCATACGCGGGCGTAATGGAAATCTACTTCTCAGTAGTATATTTTGTTTGTAACCAAAGCGAGGAACACAATTTCAGATTCGTTTCTTTTACCTCAATGCGGGCGTATTGCTGGCGATGAGCACCAGTTTGGCCTTGCCCTGACGCAGGGTCTTCAGCGTTTGCTTGTAACCCAGGCAGTACTTGCCGGATTTCATAACCAGCGCCAGACGCGCATTGGTGCTCTCTAAGGCCTTTTTCTGAAATTATCAAACAATACGAAATTGTTAATCAAACACTCATTAACAATGGTTTGCTTTTTATTATTTACCTGTTTCTTTACGGCAACCATATTGAATGTTTTAAGTCACACAATAACAACTAAAAGAAAGAAAATTAACTTTAACAATTATTTTTGCTAAACACGGAGGAATCCACCCACCTTGGTCGAGTGACGCTGTCAAAAAGGCAGATCAACCAGCAAAACGGAAACACGCTGCCATTGGCAGGGCTGCAGCGATATTCCAGCACAAATACGGTATCCCTAAGATGGTTGCACTGGACACGATTTATTGCATGACAGAGGTGCTTATAGCTATCGATAGCCGTGAAACGCTAATAAAAATTTGAAAATTTATTTTAAATTCACATTTATACTTAGAAAATTATTGCAACATTAATATTTTAACTATGAAACTTTTAGCTTTACCACTATGAAGTGCAATATATTAACTTTACTCTTTATTTTCTTGTCGAATTTCACATAAAACATTCAAAAAAAATTGATGCATTGTATATATATTCAGGTTTATATATGTGTATTATTGATTATTATAAATATTCTTCCCTTGCAATTTAGAACTGTAACTTTGCTCAGTATTTTCATATCGATATATTTTACTCATGCAACATAATCGGTTTTCAGCACATATGTTACCAAAATGGTGGCTCTAGCTAGGCGCAAATACTTGAAAGGCACACACACACAGACACACAAATCCCATATGATGTGCCTTGACGTGTGTGTGAGCGAGAACATTTATTTTGATAAACCGCACATGTAGTGCACAGCCATACGTAAATATGCGACGAATGAAAACTGCAAAATCCATCAACAAACCACCGCCAATACAAGCGGCAGCAAAGAAGACCAATTTCGATGGCGACAATGATATACAATTTGAAGTGGAACTCTGTTGGTGTGTGCAGCAACTGCAGACGGCTCTCCAGAGCGGCAATCTGAGCCAGAAAGTTGGTAAGCCCAGCCCGGATTTGCAAATTATAAATGAAAACAAATTGTCTAATGCAAAACTACAGCCGAAGACACTTCCAAGAATCTGAAGACGTTGACTAGCCAAACGGCGCCACTCATAAAAAAGCGGCAGGTCATGAAATCGGCGCTCGGCGATTACCGTTCGAAGATGCAACAGGAGGAGAAAAAAATGCTGCTTGGTAAGAGGAAGAAGGGCTGAATTACAGTGAGAGCGAGAGAGATATGAAGAAATTATTTAAGAGTAATTTAGTCGTTATTCATTACGTATATATGTAAATATAGGAATAGGAGGTATAGGAGAACAAGGAGTAGAAAGAGACGGAAAACTATAATACTATAAAATATGTACATATACTCATAATACTTGTTAACATTGAATATAATTCATAGAAGAATGTATATACATATATGTACATATATATCCTAAACAGTATTCTATATAACATTTACTAAATAAATATGTGAAGCTTTAGTGATTAACTGATCTATATATATAATGTATAGTTTAGATACCTAATGTATAGTTTATGACTATTATTATGTATAATTTTAATAAGCTTCTTCATCCAAAAGCAAGAAGCTGTAATCTTATTTAATATATCTGTCTACTTTTTATATTTAGTATATGATTCAGAGAACGATCTTGTATAAAAGGTCAATTAGAAAGCCTATATTTTATTTAATTTCTATATATTTATATTGAGCTTAATTATCAGATGGAAATATTAATGCATGATATGTCTCTCCCGCTCTCGCTTAGTATGTCTCTTTTCAATTCATGCTTATCTCTGATATCTCTTGTTTACAACAATCTTCTCTGTCTTCAGCATCGAAACAGATTAAATTCACAACGGCTAACGAAAACAAACCAAAATCAAGCTTTGTCAAGAAGTCGGCGCTACTGACGTCCGGCAAGGACTTTCGCTTTAACTTTGCGCTGCCCAACAACAACAATAACGATGAGAACGAGGCAGCTGCAACCCAGGCTCAGGACGTGCCCCAAACGGCAGCAGCTGCCACAAGGATCAGCAGCAGCTTGCAGCTGTCCTCTGGCAAGGAAGAGCCTTTCAGATTCAATTTTCAAATTGAGAATGGGCCAGAGGACATCAACTTCGATGGCCTAATGCTAAATAGCTAAACTTAATAATAAAATATAGTTAAGTTACTAAAGAAATCTATGTTGTTTGCATTTACTTTAACGGATGACAAAAGTTGTTTGCTTTTTTGTATATGTTTGAGCATAAATGTTGGCTATTGCTCAACAAATGCATAAATACTCTTTATTTTCTTTTCGTGTTTGTTTTTGTTTACTAATGCAACTAAAGTAGCATAACTGTACAATAGCAAAAAAAATGTTTACTGCACCGACAACTACTGTTTGCGAAATTGATGTGTTTTGTATGAAAAATGACTCCAAAATCAATTGACGTCGACTTAATAATAGTATTGGAATTGTACTGGATTTATGTTTCCTGCTGCGCCGCCAGTTTGCTGCTGATACACCTCGATTGTGTCGCCCTCCTCCATTTCCAGGGAGGTGGGTGTATCGTTCTCATTGATCGGCTGCCCATCGAAACGAAATCGTACCACCTGCATAGACAGGCCCTAAAATGTACAGATAAAGAGAATATGTTAGTTCTCAACATGATCTTACATGCTTGATTTCTTGCTTTCTTTCACTTACGGCACGGTCGCAATAAGCGTTCATCAGCTTACGCAGTGGAGTGTGTTTCTTTATTTTGAACTGAACCACTGCATTGTCCTGGCCCAGGACCTTCAAGTTGATGTGCTCAGTTTCAGTCTAAGCGGCAAAGCAAAGAATCAGATATTTTAATATATATTATTTTAAAAAAAATACAAAAAAAAAAAAAAAATTCGCGGTTCAACACGCAAAAAAAAAAAAAAGTTGAAACAAAATTTGTTTTTGCCATGCTTAAATTATAGAAAACATGTTTCATTTTTTCTTTTGGTATTTGCATGCGCTTGCATGTGTGTGTGTGTGTATATGTATATTCACTACACGCCGGCTTTTTTTTCGCACTAGCCACAATATATTCGCGACCAATTTTCACTTGAAAACAAATAAACTTCGTAAAATATTTACCTTCTTTTCCTCAGACATTTCTATTTTAATTTTCCAGTTTCCGACTATGAGCTATGTATACCGTAGCAGATAATTCGCTAGAATGAACAAAACAACTCAACGTTGTCAGCAAAGTAAGTTTGACACAACAACAAAAGTAGGGATGACCGATAACAGCTATCGTATTCTCAAACTCACGCACGAATCAGTTTCATCGAAGGCCGTGCTATGCTGATATTGTCAGCGCGCTGCAACGGTTAAATATATGTGTGTAAAGAGTGGTGCGCTGTTTCGTTCCGGAACTAGTTTAAGATGCGGCTCCACCCGAATTGAACTATGTTTTAAATAAAATATTCTTTTTACTGCACCATTATCGACGTAAATAAATAATTAAAAGGCAAAGTCAACATTTGTTCTTTTTTGAATAATACGATAATCTTTATTCTATTAAAGGTAATATGAAAAATACTCAATATGGAAGTTATTACTTTTCTATACATAATACATGCATTTATGTATGTATATAAATCTATATTCGTTTATATAGAGATATATGTACACATATGTGTATATGTATATGTTACATTTACAATATTAACTCTATTGGTTTATATACACAATTTTAGATTTGCATTCTGTTGTTGTGTTAATTGATTGAATATTTTATTTACTAATTTTTTGCATACATACACAATCATACATACACATGTACATCTATATAGCACTTTCAATTTCATATATGTATGTATGTATGTATGCATGTGTGTATGCTTGTTTGTTTGTTTGTCGATTTCTCATTATTGTATTCACTGATATGCATTTATTTAATTATTAATTGTTGACCACAAACATATGTATGTGTACATATGTTTGAGTATAAAAAAAGACACGCTTATAATCAAATATGTATGTATGTATGTATGTATGTATCATTAGCTTCGTATTTCTTCTAAATATTTGATGTTTATTCTGAGCTATGCGTATTCAAAACTTAACTGGAACTGGAACTGTTTAGGGGATGTGAGAGCTCTTCACAGTGGGTATCGCATAGATCACACACACATGCTTGCTTGTGTGTATGTACATATGTACATGCCTGGATTGGATGGGCCTTGTTTGTTTTGCTTGCTTACACACACCCACAAGCGGATTCATTGAAAAGGATTTCTAAAATCACACACACACATACATATATATATAATTATAGATGTAATGGACATTTAGATGTTTTTTTGAAAAAGCCTAACAATTTAATTAATATAGGTAAAAAATATTTCTAATTTTAAATGAATTGTTTTCTAACTACCTAAATGTTACAATACACACATACATAAGAACTTTTTGCTTTTATTTTTTAGCTACTTGAATTTGATGATATACATACATACACTAGCATGCACATACATATATTCACATAGAAACACATTTCGAGGTATAAAATAAAAAAATTAGTTTTTTCCCTTGACATGAAGATTCAGATAAAAATTTAAATTTTCATAATTTATTTTTTGTTATATATAAATTCTGTTAGTTTCGGCTGAATATATGTAAGTACATATCTGTTTAACTATATTTCTATATATAGATATTCTATATAGATAGTTGCTGGATTATCCGCACTAACTAAAGTTGAGCAATTCTGTTTTGTTTTTCTTTTCATAATTCTCGTTCTATTTATAAGACTTCTTCGTGAATACTTCA